TAATCACATGAGTGGAAAATGTGAATGTCGAAATAAAATTTCAGATAAAGTCGAAATTGGATGAATTATACAATATGACTGCAATTGAAGAAAACGAATATACACCGAATGAGTTCAGTAAGCAATTAGATTTCTTTCTACCGGATGGCGATTATTCAGAATTGATACGTAAGAAAGAAGAAGATATCAATAAAGAGCAAAGCTTCATAGCGCCTGCCCCAACGACCACCAATAGGGCGTTATCCCGAAGGAAACGTCGAGATTCTGGTTAGTTTCAATTCATCTCAGCACTCTTCATTTGTTCATTTGCAGTTGTTTGCAATGAGCGACTTCGCATTAATTTTATCGACTGCGTAGTGGTATGCAGTCTTATTCTCTTTAATTGTTCCTTGCTGTAAGTGTCTTAAAGTGATTTTATTTCATTCTTTTTATTCACTCCACAAAATGAATCATCTCAAATCACCGCTATTTGTAGTAGTATACGTCTTTGTTGTCAAAGCGTCACTGTTATACGGACTAGTCATTATCCCCNAAATCACCGCTATTTGTAGTAGTATACGTCTTTGTTGTCAAAGCGTCACTGTTATACGGACTAGTCATTATCCCCAAACATCCATTCGAGCATTCGTGTGGTAATGAAAACACCAATTGCTGCTTGTGCCTATCTGTTTTGCACAAACAGTCAAATCATTGCAGTAACTTGAATTGCGTATTAATTCGATATTTCGTTGAAATGCAGATCAAAGCGAGTTTGCTATCGAGAGACGTTGAATGTAGTTAGTTGTGCTCGATAACACAAGATCACGCGTATTTTGGCCTGATGATTCACTGAATGAAGTGGAAACCTATTTTTTGATAACCGTGGAACTGCTGCAGTGTGCAATTCATAATTTTTAGGAAACCTTTCAATAGCAAAAAATGTCACGACCAATAAGAGAAGTGAATAAAACAAAATAAATTTCCAGGCGAAACACATTCATCGCGATCGTCAACACCTGCTTCAGCAAGAGATCTTCGTAAAAGCTGATTGTTCGCGAAATTATTCCTTCTTACGAGTATACCTCTACGTGAATTCTTCATCGTATAATTTGATAATGACGAGTAAAAACGGGATTGGTCTCAGCTCCACAATATTTATTTATTATCCTTACAAGCAGCACAATAAAGTAATATTTAGTGAATGAAGTCTTGTGATGTGCGTATATATATGCGATCGAGTAAGCGGTACTTGTTCGTTGTATAGTTGTATGAGTTTTCTGAATGAAGCGGTCTAC